AGATAACTTCAAAAGGCATCACGAAGATGGAATGTCGGTGCCGTTAGTCCTGGCGGGAAACTCCCACGCATGTGCAGCCTGATCAGCAGTTGAATTCCAGAACCTTCCTCCAGCACAATGAGTAACCCCTCCCAAATACCATTCCCTCCCTCCCCGTTTCATGGCAGCTGAAGCAACAGCAAAGCAGAGGCTGACAGTGAGTAATAGTTGTCATTCCAGGATCTAGTACATCTTCATATTCTTGCTTTAGAAGAATCAATTTTTCAGCCACGCATGGTGGGAAATTAGTAACTCTTAGGACACACCTCTTGCACTTATCTCTGTTCAAGATGCAATCTTTTAAAACTCCTACCTTCAATTGAGCATAGACTATGAGGACATACAACTTCATAGTGACTTCCCTTTTCCTTTCTCTTATTGTACTCAAGTAATGAATTCCTTTTACCTTTATCTGTTTGCTAAAAAACCCAGTAAGTTTGTGTTCAAAACATTTAAATAATTCTTGGGGTTCCCTCTTTGTTCATTTCACAGTCCTGATAAATAAATCAGACAGCCTTCCTGCGAGCATTTGAGTAATAACTTGAAGATGAAGGATCCAGATAAAACCATTTGCAAACTTGATGTGATGAAAGAGGCATGGGTAGGAGAATGGAATCCCCCACTCCTCTGAACTGAAGAAAACGTAGCCATACATGTGAAATAGAGTGGGAGGATAAGAGTTTAGGTTATCACTATCATCATCATAATTATATATCATAACAATAGTTCTATAAGTCTCTATCAAATGAATCACATAATTTATTCTACCTACTCAAAAAGAGTTTGAGATCCTGTCACTTTCACCCCTTTTATCACTTGGCCAGTCATATTTAAAAGAATCGGAACTTCCCCAAAGCTGAAAATGTAAGCTTTTGGTCATCAGCATACAGGAAAAATAAGTTTTCTATGGCTGAGAGAGTGGAAGTTAACATTCCTTCCACAAATTCAAATAACAAATATAAAAATAGGCAAAAACCAACAATAATTACCCCATATACTATAGGTGAACAATTTTCTCAGACATTATAGCAGAATGTTCGAAACTGTAGAAGAGGGTTTTTTAATCTATGAAGTTCTTGTCATTAATAGTCTGCAATCAAATAGGTTTATAATGTGCAGTTAAGCCTATAAACTGAGTATATTGTTAGATTCAAAAAGTATATAATTATCACACCAGCTTTAAACTATGTTTGCTTATTGTGGCACTTATGCTCTGGTGTTCATTCTGGAGTTCATCAAAGACTCAAGATTCAGAAGGACCTTGATGACTTGAGCATTGGGTCCTATCCAATAAGTTGAAGTTCAATGGTGAGAAAAGTGAGGTCCTACATTTAGGCAGGAAAAACCAAATGCACAAGTTTCTACTGTTTAGTACCTGGCGGACATAAACGCGAGATGCCTGTCGGACATAGCAGCGGGAACGGAGGAGCTGGGGGGGGGCAAGGTGGCAGCCGGCGAAGAAAGGGGAGATGGGAGCAGGATGGTGGGGGGGAGAGGGCTGCCCCTCTCTTCTCAAACAAAGCTGCCCTCCCTGCCTCTGCCCCTTCCCTCTCTTCTCAAACAAACTCTCTCTCAAATTGAGAGAGTTTGTTTGAGTGAAGTGAAGAAAGAAACACACACACACACACACACACACAAATTACTCACAATAAAACATTACTTACAAATTACAATAACTTTGAATTCCTCCCCACTGCCCCCTCCCTCTGACCCACTCACCCACATACCTTCCAGCTGCATCAAAAATGCAAGATTTGGTCTAGCCAGGGCCAGGCAGGCTAGGATAGTTGCTGCTAGAGTCACCATGTGGATGACTCTGCTTAAATGTTTTTTAAAAGCCTCTAAACAAAGTGCCCTCTGCAGGAGGAGGCGGGAGACTCACGTGCCTCATTTGCATATGGAATTTTTTGCTTTTTAACCCTTGGTTAACTATTAAAA